GCTGGGTCAGGGAGGGGAAGCTCCTCTGCCCTTTCTCTTTATTCCCACGAGGGCAGGAATCTGTAAACTTGATTATTTTAATTGATTCATTAGTGCAACAATCAAAATCTAGAGAACTCCTTGAAAGCCAGTGAAGCTCCCCTTGAATTCTGTCTGTGAGGAGCCTGCCACGACTCGTGCTGATTTCTTTCTTGCAGGTTGTGTGAGGAATTAAACCCTAAGAATCACAGAATCATGGAATATCCTGAGCTGGAAGGGACCCACAGGGATCATCCAGTCCAACCCCAGCCCTGCACAGACACCCCAACACTCCCACCCTGGGCATCCCTAAGAGCACTGTCCAACCTCTCCCGGAGCTCTGGCAGCCTCAGGGCTGTGCCCATTCCCTGGGGAGCCTGGGCAGTGCCAGCACCCTCTGGGGGAGGAACCTTTCCTGAGATCCACCCTGAACCTCCCCTGACAGAGCTCCAGCCATTAAATCAGGTCGTGCATTCAGTAATGTGTGTTGTGTCCAACATGACTTTCAATTCCAAATCTGTGCTCCACTGGAATTTGTCCTGGGTGGATCAGTGTTACCCTGGTACAGGTCTTCTTAAATCCCTCCTCCCCACTGAGAGCCAGTGTCCTCCTTTGTTCTCTTGGAGTTTGCAGAGCTGAACTCTGCTTTTTCCACAGATGTGTCATTTTTACTGTTACACTTCATTGAATTGCCCGGTGACATTCACTGTGTAGGGACAGGGCAAGGAAGCCAGGACTCCCTGCTCACTGACCCCTCTGTTGAGGTTCCAAGGCTCCCACACCCAGCAGCCCTCTGTGACACATTCCAGCTCCAGGCCTGGGATTAGGGAGGGGTTTCTTCACCTGGCAGGTAAATGGCCTTGGCTTTGTTTTGGCCCTGGAGCTGCCCCGTGGAACGGGACCTGACCTGGGCAGGACCATGCCTGCCCCTTGGGATAAGGTGTCCAGGGGCTCTTCCTGTTTGGAACTGGCTCTTTGGGTCTTGCAGAACTGGGATCCCATTCCTGTGTCCTTAGCCTGCAGCATTCCCGAGGCTTTTCTATTCTGGGTAAAAGGAGGCAATTTGAATTATTTCCATCTGAGCTGATGCTAAGCTCCAACCCCTCCAGAGCAGAGCTCCAGCCTCTGTCTCTGTCCCTGCACCTGAGGTGGGCTCTCCCCTGCCTGCCAGATGTTCTGGGTGCACCCTCGACCGCTGAGCTGCCTCTTCTGTGTCCTGCAATGTGAAAGTAGCACCAGATACTCCTTCGTGCAGTTCTGTGTATATGGCTTTCGTAGGTGGGTTTTCCAGGCACTGATTCCCGGTGTTTTCAGTTTGTCTATGAGGGGATATTTTATTTGCATCTATGTTTTTAGCTCTCCTGTGATAACTTGTTGAATATTAAAAAAAAAAAAAAATATTTTGCTTCTATTGGGACATTTGTATACTCGCAACTATATTTCTGTAAACAGCTGCAGTCGAGAATAAACGATGAAAGTTTTCATTTTACACTCTAAAGTCTTGTGATGGTTTTACCAAGGGCATCTCCAGAGCCGTGCCCAGGGCGCTGCAGCTGCTGCAGGAAAAGGTCCTTGGAACCACACTGACTTGGTGCTGTGGCACCCCGGTAACCCCTGGGGGCTGCCCAACCCAGCCCCCAAATTGTGACCACGGGAACGGCTTCCATAGCCCAGGATCCCGGCTCTGAGGGACTGGGGGAGAGACAGAGTCTGCCCCAGGGAGGTGAGGCCAGGAGTCCAAGGCCAAGATGCTGGAATTACCACATCCTCAGCAGGATGTGTGCTGCCTTTCCCACTGCCCTGTTCCCCTTTCCTGCTCCCACTCTGCAACCTGTGACCTCCCCAGGACCAGGGGCCACAGCTGCTATCAGGTATTTCCTTATTTTGAACAATTTCAGCAGGGTTAAGGAGAAACTGCAGCAAGAGCTGGGCCCAGCAGTCAACTGTGAAAGATTTCAGCAGATTTATCCACAAAGCTTTACCCTGGAGTCTCCCCCTTCAGTCCTGGGTGTCGCCCAGCACCAGGGTGGGACACAACCCCCTGCCCTGGGCTTTTGTCCTTCTGGAGCTCATTATCCCACGGGGCAAATGATCCAAGAAATCCTCCCTCCCCCTGTGCCAGCCTCCTCGTTCCTCGAGGCTCAGAGAAAGGCTCTCCCTGGCACAGGCAGGTGCAGAAATGGGACTGAGTCACAGGGCTCGGGATTTGGAGTTTATTGGGTGACAGCCCCTGCCCAGGGGTGCCCAGGGACGGGCAGGGAAGCCACCCCACCCTCCCCAAACCCCGTCACCATCGCCCCGGTCCCGGCGGCTCTCTGGCACCAGCGGGGACAGCGCGGCCTGAGCCGTGCCCAGGTGCTGGGAGAGGCCTCGCCCCGGCAGAGCCACCACCACACGCGGGCAGGTGGGTCCTGCAGGGGGGCCCGTCCTGCCCTCACCTCCTCCTCACGAACTTCTTGGTGACGGCGTTGGGGTTGAGGCGGCGGCGGCCGGCGCCCAGGGCGGCGTCGCGCAGGTGCAGGTGCGCGGCCCGGCTGTGCACGTCGTTCTCGGCGAAGGGAGAGGCCCCGGCCAGGTAGTCGGGGTCGAACACGTTGGTTTTCTGCCTGGCCTTGCGGGACAGGCGCTGCTGAGGGAAGCGCTGGTCCTCCACCAGGTGCGGGTTGTTGGCGTGCTTCCCGCCCTGCGGCGCCGGCAGCGGGTACTGCGGGAGAGAAGGGATCAGCCCCGGGGAGCGCAGCCCCCTGCAGAGCCCAGCAGGGGAGCCTGAAAGCCCTGGGGGTCAAGCGTAACAGCTGGAGGATGTTCTCAGTTTGCTTTGATTGCCTGCAACCTGCCAGCCACAAGCTGGGTCCCAGTGGAAGAATTTCTTCACAGAAAGGGATTGTTAAATGTGGGAAGGGGCTCCACTCCCGGGTGGAGTTCCCATCCTGGGAGGTGTGCAAGGAACTTGCTGGATGTGGCACTCAGTGCTCTGGGCTGGCTGGCAAGATAGGGATCGGTCACAGGCTGGACTCCATGACCTTGATGGTCTTTTCCAGCCTCAGTGAGTCTGGGAGTCTGTCCAGGTACTCACCCTGAGCCCCCGGGGGTTCAGCACCTTGGGGTTGCGGGAGAAATGCATGTGGAGACTCCCGTCGTCGCTGACACTCACTGCCACCTTCTTGAGGGTCTTGTTCCCACAGTGGGGGCAGAACACCTTGGTCATGTCCGAGGTGGTCCTGCGAGGGTGGGACAGGGGGTTCAGAGCTCCCGGGGCCGTGGAACACGGGCTCAGCCCGGGCTCAGCCCCAGCCCCAGCACCTGAAGCAGCCGTGGCAGCGCAGGATGTAGCTGCGGGCCCGGCGGATCAGCATCCCGTTCACAGCCAGCACGTGGAGACCCATCTGCAGCAGCACGTTCTGCAAGAGCAGGGACACACCCCGGCAGCTGGGACCTGCCAGCTGGGCCAGGCAGAGCCCTGCAGGCTTTGAGGGGTCTCTGGGACCCAGACCCTGCTGCTCTGACACACGGAGCTGCCCCAGAGCCTGAGCCCCGGCTGCAGCCCAGCACCCACCTGCATGGCAAAGTCCGTGGTGACACAGCCGACCTGGACACCCACGGGAGCAGTGTCGCAGTGCCCCGTGTCCTGCTGGGCCTGCTTCAGGTTGCTGGGAGTTATCCAGCCTTCGTCATCGCTCTCCTCATCCTCCTCCTCCTCTTCGCCGGCGCTGGCCCCGTCTGCAGAGCTCCTGTGCTCCTCGGGGGGCTCGGGGCTGCCGGCGATGGCCTGGCCCAGGGGGGCAGGAGACGGTCGGGGTGGGACACAGGGGTGGGGAGTGGCCAGCCAGAAACGGCAACAGGGAGAAGCTCCCGAAGGTTCTCACCAGCAGCTCCCGCAGCTCCTCCTCGATGCTGGGCAGGGGCGGCCGCCAGTACAGGAAGGATCCGAACTCGTCGCTCTCGGCCGGGGCCGGGCCGCTGCCGGGGCCGGGCTGGGGCGGGCCCTTCCCCGCGGGCTTGTGCTGCGGGCACAGCGCGGGCAGCGCTCAGCCGGGGCCGGCGGCCGCAGCCCCTCGCGCCCGGCCGAGCCTTACCTTGGCGGGCAGGTGGAAACCGGCGAGGTGCAGGGGGGCCTCGGGGTGCCGCGGGGTGGAGCTCAGCCGCACCTGGGGGGCAGCAGGGGCCGTCGGCGGGGCCGCTGGAACCGGGGCCCGTGTCCGTGCCGCTGGAACCGGGGCCCGGGCTGCTGGAACCGGGCCCCGTGTCCGGGCCGCTGGAACCGGGCCCCGTGCCCGCGCCCATCCTACCTTGTCCTGCGGCTCCCAGCGCACGCAGCCGGGGCCGTCGATGTCGGCCTGGAGCTGGCACGTGAGGGCGAGCACCTGCAGGTCGGCGGCCGAGAGGCTCGGGTAGTCCCCGGTCTTCTTGGCGAACTCGGTCACTGCGGGCGGGGAGCAGCGGCGCCGTCGGGCCGGGCCGGGCCGGGCCGGGCGGGCGGCGGGGCCGGTCCGGCGGGGGAAAGGAGCCGCTGGCGGGGCTGCCCGGCACTCACCGAGGCGCAGCAGCTCCGGGCGCGGGCGGCGGAGCCGCAGCTCGCAGGGCAGCGCGGCGAGGCGGCGGCGCGCGGGCCGGTCGCGGATCTCGGCCAGCACCTCGGGCACGGTGTACAGCGCGTCTGCGATGTCCTGCGGGCAGCGCCGTCACACCGGCCCGTCACCCCTTGACCCCCCACCCCCCCC